CGCGGGGACGGCCCAGCGTTGCGCACCCTCCTTTCTTCCCTTCGTGGGAGCGTCGCCGTCCTCCTTTCCCCCCTTGGCCTTGGGCCCGGCCCCAGCCGTCAGCTGCCGCAGGTGGTTTTCCTCTCCTCGCCCGTGCACGAACACCTGATCCCGCTGCCGGTCGGGGCACCCCAGCCCTCACAGGGCCCCTCAGCCCTGGCACCCCGGCGGAGGACCCGACCCTTCAAGGGGTGCTTGCAGGTCTTTTTACTTCATTGGGTTTTTCATTGCAAAAGATTGCACTTGGAAAAAAAGCTCAACAGAACGAATATTCAACAGTTGGTCTTTGGGTGTGAAACAGTAGCCCTCCTAGTCTTTTGGCGGCTGGCGCCCCCTTTTTTTTTTTTTTATTAATTACATCACCTCATTTTCAAAATTAAATCTCCTAAAAGCATCATGATCAAATATCTGCTCAAAAAAAAAAAAAAAAAAAAAAAAACAACCCACGGTGGTTAGAAATTCTTTAAAGTTTGGCTGGGGTTGCTAAAGGAAAGATGTGTGAATTTCAGCATCAAGTATAACACCAGTGCACATTTCATCTCATGAAAACGACAGCAACTGTCTGCACAGAGAGAGAAAAAAAAAACCTCAAAAAACAACTGTGCAGCCGTATGCTCTTCCATAGCCACATTTAGAGTCAAAGTGCGATGAAATCACCCGTCATCTTCATTGGCTGCTTCATACATAGTCTCAAGATGAGGATGGACCTGGATGAGCTCAGCTCAGCCACTGCCTTCACCAGCCGTGCTTTGATAATGGTGGCTTTCTTGGCATGGACGCTTTACCAGAAGACCGAGGAAGCAAAGAGCACGCCTTGGCCCATGGTCCCACGGCTGTCGGGCTCTCTGGAGAGGCTTGCTGAGTGCACACCAAACACACAGTCCGACCTTTTGGCCTAGCCAGAGACCAGCTCAGGTGATAGGCTGTCTGCAGAAAAGCAGCGGCCTCGAAATGCAGGAGAGTGATGTTCAAACTAATTGGGACAAGGTGCAGTTAAAGCCCTTTTGGTCCTCCTACAGTCCGCATCCATACAGAGGCCGTGCGATAGATACATTAAGGACCAAGAACAGCACCGTTGTTTACAGCATTGCTCTAGAAAAGTGAGTATTCAGAGGTTGTCCCCCTATAGTGGAATAAGAGATAAGTATCATTGTACCTTTTCTCATCATCCAGTAGTGCCCATTCTCATTAAATCATTGTTCTGATGGCTCTGCATTAGCTAAGCCAGTGCTGGCCATTTAGCCTGGCGTTAGGACAAGATGCTCCAACCCTAAAATTACTTTTGTTCCCAAGGTGGTTGTTAAGTAGGTAAGTAACATGGATTCTTCCAGATTTGGTAATGTAAAACAAAAAATGTCACGTTGACAGTGACATTTTGATGAACTACAGATGCTGTGGAGTTAAGAAATTCTTCTACATACAATTCTTTCATAGCAAAGTAATACCTGAAGGGGTTTCTAGAGAGAACTGGACAGAACTGGAGGGAGAATTGATCAAACAGACTAATTCTAAGGAAAGAAGGGACAATCGCAAACAACAAAAAACCAGGAACTGTCAGAACAAATGGACGAGTCCAAAATACCAGGTAGAAGAGGACTAAAGCAGAACCAGAAGGAAAAGACAGTGGAACTAAAGTAGTGAAGTGAGAAATGAATGCTAAAAAGTTACTCATCTGCATCAGAGGAATACAGCACGCCCTTGCCATTTGCTGTATGTGGGGGTTTGTGCCATCTTTCTTTCTCATTCTTTTGTTTGTCAGCAAAAATTCAATAAGTAACAGGGCTTTTGGAAAGGCTATAAAGAGAAGGTAAAAATGTCAACACAGAAATGGAATGACTTCTTAATGTCAGGAAAAGAAAGAAAAATGTGACTATAGAGAATAGAGTGTGTTAAGAAGGTCAATCTTTTCTACTTAATCTTGCCCAAAATAAATCACAGAACCATAGAATGCTTTGGGTTGGAAGGGACCTTTAGAGGCCATCTGTTACACCCCCCCTGAAGTGAGCAGGGACATCTTCAATGAGATCAGGTTGCTCAGAGCCCTGTCCAACCTGACCTTGAATGTTTCCAGGGGTGGGGCATCTACCACCTCTCTGAGCAACCCGTTCCAGTGTTTCACCACCCTCACTGTAAAAACTTTCTTCCTTATATCCAGTTTAAATCTACCCTTCTTTAGTCTAAAACCATTACCCCTTGTCCTGTCACAGCAGGCCTTGCTAAAAAGATTGTCCCCATCTTTCCTATAGGCCCCCTTTAAGTATCAAAAGGCCATAATATGCTCCCCCCGCAGCCTTCTTCAGGCTGAACAACCCCAACTCTCTTAGCCTGTCCTCACAGGAGAGGTGGTCCAGCCCTCAAATAATTTTTGTGACCTCCTCTCGACCCACTCCAACAGTTCATGTCCTTCTTGTGCTGAGCACCCCAGAGCTGGAGGCAGTGCTCCAGGTGGCATCTCACCAGAGTGGAGCAGAGCAGCAGAATCCCCTTCCTCGACCTGCTGGCCATGCCACTTTTGATGCAGCCCATGATATTGTTGGCCTTCTGGGCTCCAAGCGCACATTGCTGGCTCATGTCCAGATTTTCATCCACCGGTACCCCCAAGTCCTTCTCGGCAGGGCTTCTCTCAATCCTTTCATTTTGCAGCCTGTATTGACACCAGGACTTGCCCTGACCCAGGTGCAGGACCTTGCACTTGGCCTTGTCGAACCTCATGAGGTTCACACAGACCCACCTCTCCAGCTCATCCAGGTCTCTTTGGATGACATCCCATCCTTCTGGCGTGTCAACTGTACCACTCAGCTTGGTGTCATCTGCAAACTTGCTGAGGGTGCGCTCAATCTCACTGTCTATGCCATTGATGAAAATATTTAACAGTAGAGGTACCAGTATAGACTCCTGAGGGACACCACTTGTCACAAGTCTCCATTTGGACATCGAGCCGTTGACCACTACCCTCTGGATGTGACCATCCAACCAATTGCTTATTCACCAAACAGTCCACCCATCAAATCTGTAGCTCCCCAAGTTAGAGAGCAGGATGCTGTGGGGGACCATGTTCAAGGCTTTACAGAAGTCCAGACAGACAACATCCGTTGCTTTTCTCTTGTCCACTGATGCAGTCACTCCATCATAGAAGGCCACTAGGTTGGTCAGGCAGGGCTTGCCCTTGGTGAAGCCACACTGGCTGTCTCAAATCACCTCCCTGGCCTCCATGTGCCTTAGCACAGCTTCTAGGAGGATCTGTTCCATGATCTTCCCAGGCACAGAGGTGAGGCTGACAGGGCGGTAGTTCCCAGGGTCCTCCTTTCAACCCTTATTAAAGATGGGCACAATTTTTCCCGTATGTTTCCTGTAATGTTTCCCATATGTTTCCTGTAATGTTTCCCATCATGTATAACATGACTTTTAAAAGGGAACACATCTAATACGAATTGGAAGAATGTTTCTTTCACACATATGTAATTAATTTGGAGAGCTGATTGCGAGTGGGCATTTCATAGACATGAGTTTTTTAATGCATCACC